TTCTTATTATCTTGGATTAAATTTGCTTTTTTTTTTCTAGTTTCCTTAGGACCAAACTTAACTGATTGATTTTAGATATTTTTTATTTTCTAGTATATGCGTTTGGTCTAAGAATTTCCCCATGAGTTCTGTTTTTGCTGCATCACATAAGATTTGATAAATTGTTTTCATTTTAAYTTTGTTTAAAATATTCTGAAATTCCTTTTGAGATTGCTTTCTTAGACTCGAGTTATTTAGAAAAGTATTATTTAATTTTGACATTGATTTATGGCTTTAGACCATTGTGGTTTTCGAGCAGACGTTATATGATTTCTATTCTTTTACATTTTTTAACATGTGTTTTCTGGCCCAGAATGAATGTGTATTCAGCTGTTGATAGATGAAGTAGTCAGTGGATATTTATTTTGTCCAATCGACTGATGATCTTGCTAATTACTGATTTTCTACTTGCCGATTTTGTGCATTACTAATAGTTGTTGAACTCTCCAAGTACAGTACTGGATTCATCCACTTTTCTTTGCAGTTCTTTCAGTTTTTGCCTTGTGTATTCTGACAAAGTATTATTAGGTGCATGTATATATTAAGAATTATTCTACTTCCTGAAGAGTTTACCCCTTTATGAATGTGTGGTGCCTTATTTATCCCCGATAACTTTTCTAGCTTTTAACTGTTCTGAAATTAATAGTTACTCTTGCTTTCTTTTCATTAGTGTTAACATGGTGTATTTTTCTTCATCTATTTACTTTTAATATATTTGTGTCTTTATACTGAATTTGTATTTCTTGTAGACCTATAATTGGGYCTTGTTTTTTAATTAGTTAATTAAAATAGGCAAAAATTATATTTAATTATCACATAGAAATTATTTCTGAAATATTCGTAAGTTATGAATAGCTAAATAAAGGTAATTAAATGTGAACCGTCTCATATTGCTTATCCTCTGTTTGTGGAGAGAACACCTAAATCTACTCATAACACTTCTAGAATATAAAACATTATTATTAACAGTGGTCAGTAGATCTCCTGCTGTCTGTTTTCCTTTGACCAGAATCTCCCCAGCCATTCCTGCTCATCACAGCTCCTGTTAACCACCATTCTATTCTTTATTTCTATGAGTTCAMCTTCTTTTAGAATTCACATACAAATGAGATTTCCTATTTGTGTTTCTGTGCCTAACTTATTTCATTTAATGTAATGCCCTCCAGGTTTAACTGTATTGTTACAACTGACAGGATTCCTTCTTTTTTTTTTTAAAGGCTGAGTAGTAGTTCATTTGTGTTGTGCCTGTGTGTATATGTGTATGTGTGTCCAGACACACACCACATTTTTTTTCATTCATTCATCCGTTGATAGACACTTACATAGATTCAGTATTTTGATTATTGTGCAGAATGACATGATGAACATGAAAGTGCAGATATCTCTTTGATATATTTAGATCCTTTGGGTATGTATCCAATGGTTGCATTGTGGGATCATATGGTAATTCTATTTTTAATTTTGAGGCATTTCTATACTGTTTTGTATAATGGCTGTACTAATTCACATTCCTACGAACAGTGTACAAACATTTGCTTTCTCCACATTGTTGTCAACACTAATCTTTCTTTTCTTTCTCCTTCTTCTTTCTTCCTTCCTTCCCTTTCTACCCCAGCCCCCCACCCCCTCAGTACTTGGGATTGAACCCTGGAGTACTCTTACACTGAACTACATTCCTACCCTCTTTTATTTTTTATTCTGAGTTAGGATCTTGCTAAATTGTTCACGCTGGCCTCAAATGTGTGATCCTCCTGCCTCAGCCTCCTGAGTTACTGGGATTAAAGGTATACACAATATGCCAGTTTATCTTAAATTTTTTTTTTAATAAAAGCTATCCTAAAATGTGAGGTGGTATTTCACTGTATTTTTAAAAAATTGTTTTTAGTTGTACAAGGACAACAGTACCTTTACTTTATGTATTTATTTTCATGTGGTGCTGAGGATCAAACCCAGGGTCTCACACATGYAAGGCAAGTGTTCTACCTCTGAGCTACAGCCCCAGCCCCTCACTGTGGTTTTAATTTGCATTTCTTTAATGATTAGTGATGTTTGTTACTCTTTCATTACGTTTGCCATTTGTAAATCTTCATTTGATAACTTTATTTGATAACTGTCCTTTAACAATTTTTAAAGTGAGTACTCTTGTTAATGAGTTGAATTCCTTATATTTTTCTGGATATTAACCCTATGTCAGATGTATGGTTTGTAGATATTTTTCTCCTATTYCATAGGTTGTTTATTCACTCTGTTATTTCTTTTTTTCTTTAATTTTTTTATTCTAATTTATTACAATTAATATTACACATATAGAGCCCAATTTTTCATATCTCTGGTTGTACACAAGGTATATTCACACCATTCACGTCTTTATACATGTGCTTAAGGCAGTGATGTCCATCTCATTCCCCACCTTTTTTTGTTGTTTCTTTTGATTTGCAAAAACTTTTTAGTTTGCTGTAATCTCATTTGTCTATTTTTACCTTTGTTGTCTGTGTTTTYGGGGATTTATCTAAAAAGATCATTTCTGGAACCAATATCATAGAACTTCCCCCTGTTTTTTTTTTTCCTGGTAATTTTACAGTTTCAGGTCTTTTGTTTTTATAAGTGCCCTGTGTTAAAAGATCAACTTTCTCAGTACTGTATTGGAGTTAGTTTTAGTATTGAAGAGTAAACCTGATTTTTTTTTTCATCATAAAATCCCATCTTTTTAGATTTTCCTAAAATTACTTTAGAGTGTCTAGAACAGTGATTGCTATTGGAAATATAATGCAAACCATTATGTACTCTTAAACTTTCTATTAACCATGTTAAAAAATTACAAGTAACAGGTAAAATTAATTTTAAGAATATATTTTATTTAGCCTAATGTATCAAAATATTCTTTAAAGATGCAATCAGTAGGAACATTATTAAGATATATAGCATGGTGGTGCACACCTGTTATCCTACTACTTGGGAGGCTGAGACAGGAGGGTTGCAAATCTAAGATCAATTTGGGTAACTTAGTGAGACCCTCTCTGAAAATAAAAAAAAAAAAAAAATGGGAATGGGGCATGGGGGCACTGGGGATGTGAATTAGTGGTAGAGTACTCACCTAGCTTTCACCAGGTCCTGGCTCAATCCCTAATACTTGGGMTACACCCACACACTCATGCACATACATACTTGTCCATACATATACACATACACAAACATGTATATATTTACAYACACACATACATATACGTGTGTCTATGTGTGTATTCTTTCTAGATGTAATCAATATGAACATTATTAAGATAGTATATATATGCAGGACAGTGGTATATATCTGTTATCCCAGCTACTTGGGGGGCTGGCTGAGGCAAGAGATTTACAAGTTTGAGGCCAGCTTGGGTAACATATGGTCTGAGCCTAATTCAGTTCACACTAGTTACATTTTGAGAACTCAGTAGCTCTAGTAGGAAGTGATTATCATATTGAATAGTACAGATTTATTTTTCCTGTTTTCTGATTCTCTTGTCTACCATAGTTTTGTTTCACCTGTATATTGGATGAACATGCCATGTATTTCTTTACCCAAATCACTGGTAAAAATCTTCCTTTTATTTCCAGTAGTGATGATGAGGTAGTTTAGGCAAATTCTCCCATTGAAGGTAACTAGAAAATCTAGCGGATTTATAACAAATCTTCTGAAAGCTTAAGATAGTGAGGGATTCTTAGGTGATGAAGAATTATAGGGGCTTAATCCATGATAAGATAGAACTCCTAAAGAAGAAACTCCAGAAAATACTTCTGAATAATTCATTTATTAAGGAAAAAATTATAGCAGGAATTAGAAAAAATTTGAATTGAATGATAATAAGAACAGTAAGTAATATGTCATGCTTAAGAGAAACTTTATAGCATTAAAATGCATATATTTGAGGTAAACAACAACAACAAAAACCTACAAACCAGTGTTCTAAGTACCCAGTTCAAAAATAGAAATCATCCTCAACCTGATAAATGGTATATATGAGAAACCCACAGCTAACATCAAACTCGATTTTGAAAGTCTGAAATCTTTCCCCTATAGGATCAGGAGTAAGACAATGTTGTCCCCTCTTAACCCCTTTATTCAGTATCAGCCAGGGCAATTAGATAAGATAACATGGTAGAAGTCAAGGCTGTGGTACCCTGGAAGACAAATGACTTAGGGATTGGGAGGAGATGCCAAGGAACTTTAGATTGGTACTATTATATTTGTCATAGGTGATGTTTACATGCATCTTTGCTTTGTAGTAATTTGTTTGTTTGTGCCCTTTGTGGTGTTTTACATGGATTCTTTTCTTTGTAATTTTCTGCACATGTATGTTTTGTGCACTTTTTTTTTAAAGAGAGAGAGAGAGAGAGAATTTTTTTTAACATTTGTTTTCTAGTTTTCAGTGGACACAACATCTCTATTTTATTTGTATGTGGTGCTGAGGATCGAACCCAGCGACTGCTTGAGCCACATCCCCAGCCTTTGTGCACTTTTTTAAAAATATATTTTTGGTTGTAGATGGGACACAGTACCTTTATTATTTTTATCTGGTGCTGAGGATCAAACCCAGTGCCTTACACATGCAAGGCTTGTGCTCTACCACTGAGCCACAATTCCAGCCCCTTTTGTGCACTTTTCTGTATATTAATTTTACAATTAACAGGTTAAGAGGATTACTACTTGAGAGGTCTTGAGTAGGCATATCAATACCATTTCTTGGTGTTTAGACTCTTGACTTCATATTCTTTTTTTTTTTTTAACCAAAGTGAAAATGGAGGCGGGGGAAAATACCCAAAGAGAACAAAAACTAGATCAGTGGGCAATTCAGATGTTCAGCTTCTTCAATGAATGTAGTGTAAACATCATTAATTTGTAAGTCCTTCACTCTAATAGTTTTTTAAAAAATGTTTTTCTCTTAAAATGGAAGTTAATTTTTTTTTTTGTTTGTTTAAATTAGGAGGTGTTAATGATGCTGGATAATTATGTGAGAGATTTCAAAGCACTGATTGACTGGATTCAACTTCAGGAAAAGCTAGAGAAGACTGATGCTCAAAGCAGGTAATTTGCTCTGATATTTGTATTTATAGTACTAAGCAGCTTTAATAGCAATCATTGAAATTGTTGATGGCCTTAACCTCAGATTTACTTGAAACTTGTAAAAACATAAAAGTTGGGTGCTGAATTTCTCATTTGGTTTAACAACAAACATTTATTGGGTACCTGCAGGTTCAAGGTACATTATTTGGTATAGACCTTTAATTGCTGTATATGTCACATTTATACTTTCATGAAATTTCTAGTCTAATGGTATGATAAAATAGAATCTATTAGTTCAGAAAATAACTATGGGTGTTCAATGAAGGTCAGATTTCTTTTGGAGGATAGATCAGGAGAGATTTCATAGAGGATGTAGAAGTATTTAAAGTATATGATGGGTTTTTCCAAGTGATTGGTCTTTCAGATGAGGGGAGTAAATTAAAACAGCCATATCTTGTCATGGTGAAAGACTATGAATAAAATTGATGATTTTTGATTAAGTGAGTAGTGAAATATGAAATTTTCTTTAGAAAACTTTAGATTAATTTGGAATCAGCACACAATATCTGAATGTTCTATAACAGGCTCAGGGACTGTTGTAGTGTAAAAGGACAGAAACAGTTCCTGCCTTCCTGAAGGGTATCATTTCTGCTGTGGCCTGAATATGTCCCCCAAATCCATATGTTGAAATTAAATTGCTGATGTGATAGTATAAAGAGTCCAGACCTTTAGGAGGTGATTAAATTATGAAAGTGATGCTCTCATGAATAGGATTCCTTTTTACCCGGAGAAAACAGGACTTTGTTGCCACCTTATTTTGAATTTAACCTTGGTTTAGTTTCAGTGGATGGAACCTTTTACTAGAGAAGGCATCTTTTGGTTCATCCTAATTTGTTAACCTCCTGGGAATCAAGTGGCTAAAGGAATCCCAAGRTAAAAATCCAGAGAACTGAATTCACAGGAAACCAAATCCAGGAAAATTGTGATAGGTGGATCTTTTAAAATATTTTTGCATCTCATGATGAAAAAAAATTAGTTTTCAGTGCTAGGGATTKAACCCAGGGACATTTTACTACTGAGTTGCATCCCCAGCCCTTTTTATTTTTTGAGAAAGGATCTTGCTCAATTATGAAGGCTGGCTTTGAAATTCATGATCCTCTTGTCTCAACCTCCCCAGTAGCTCTGGGATATAGGTATGTGTCACTGTTCCAAGTCATGATGCAAATTTTGGTTGCTTGCTTCATCCACAGTCCCTGGATGGGTCAGATGTAGGTGTCTTTTTCTTATACCAAATAGTTTTACCCCTGTCCTTAGTAATAGGTTTGGAAGTGAGTTCCTTCCTGGGTTAAACCAAGCTAAGAGATCATTATTCTGATACAGGCCTGTAGCTTTATTGCCCTTGAGATGATAAGTAGAGGAGTGCAGGTTGAAAGAAAATGGATAAATTGACAGAGAGAAGCAGAGATGAGAGAAATCATGTGGTCAACAAGAGCTCAATGTTGTTGCTTTAAAGCCTAGATCTATTCTAGGACTAATTCTCATGAGTCCTGATTCTGTTTTTTCTCTCCCCTTAGATGTCCTTGATCTTTCATAGTTTGTATCCTTACAGTAAATCTTTATTTCCTTTTTCTTTTCACTTTTTGTTTAACTTGTTTGAGTTTTTTTAATATTCAAAATTGCCTAAATGTAACCACTACTGCATTAAAAATAGATTTTTTTTAAGAAAATCATATTGAAAAAGATTCAGAGACCAAATCCAGGCCTAAACTATGTAGTTACCATCCCTGTCCTGACCCCATGATTCAAAAATGTACCTGACCATCTTTATTTTAGTCAGCTATCAGCATTTCTTCTGTTTTACTTAAAAGGCAGCTCCCAGATATGGGTAGCAACTTTAAATKTCCTGCAGACATAATCATTTGTCTCATATTCTTCAAATTATGCATCAAAACTCATTTTAGTATACTTGAGATTTAAAGGTTAAAAAATAAAATTATAAATAAAGAAGAGAGGGTTGCAGCTCRCTGGTAGAGTGCTTGCCTAGCAGGGGTAAGGCACTGGGTTCAATCCTCAGCACCACATAAAAAATCAAATAAACAAAAAATARAGGTTTAATTCTTAAATAAAGAAGGGAATATTGATAAATATAAATATGTTTGTATCATAGGTAAGGACTTGATAAAAGTATAAACTACAAATAAAAACATTGATTCTTCTGATTTAACAAGAGAATAATGACTTTCTGTGTAAAAGATAAAAAAAATGGTGAAATAGTTGCAGTACTAATGCCAATGGATTTACAGCCATAATAGTAATAATAGCAGTATTGGTAAACTATTTCTATCCAATTGGAAAATGATACAAATTCCAGTGAGGAAAATGGGCTAAAGATGCCAATATGTGAATCCCAAAAGAAAAATCCAAATGGCTGGTAATAACATTCAGCCTTGCTATTTATGGTAATGAACATATAAAACTTGAAAAGACAGTGAAATACTATTTTCTCAATTAAAATTTTAAAAGAGAATGCTACCTATTGGCAAGGTTGAAGAGAAATGTCATTTGATAGGAGTATACTTTGTTAATAGGTTTTCTGAAAGGTCACTTGATAATACATTGTTAAAATACTTAGACTTTTGAATAATGTTTTATCTGAAATTTCTTATTTCTAATAGTATCACTTTTTTGATGATATAGGAAAAATCCTGATCATTAGATTGAGTGGAACATAAGCAGTGAGAGACCAAGGGAAGTGATAGAATCTGAGAAATAGAGAAGATATACTTAGGGAGAACTTTTCATTAGAGATTTGCACCCTGTTATCTGAGATTGGTTCTGGTGCCAGTGGAAAAGGAGGAATAGAAGTTAAGGTACATTTCTATTAGATGCAGAATCTCTGGTTTGATTCCTAGTTTCTTGATCCATTTTGACTTAACTTTTGTGCATGATGAGAGAAAGGGATTCAATTTCATTTTGTTGCATATGGATTTCCAGTTCTCCCAGCACCATTTGTTGAAGATGCTATCCTTTCTCCATTGCATGCTTTTAGCACCTTTGTCTAAAATAAGGTA